ATTCTACTTAGTGTCTAATGTTTAGACAATATTTYATAGGAAGTGTGAGGTTAAAGCAATATTCCCTATGTGAGAAGAGAATTCAAACCAGTTCACTTATTCCAAATGGAAAGTAAATTATGTAAATTACTACACAGTGGAAAAATGTTAGTTTTTACTGAATTTTTCCATATTTTATCAAGAGTTTAATATATGAGATTAGATGATTATTGACCATTTGTTAAACTAGAAACCTCAGATCCCTGGTACTTTGCATTTTTTTCTTGATTTTATTTATTTTTTTGTTTATTTTTTCCTTATTTTTCTAATTTGGGSGGAAGGTACCTGGGATTAAATTCAGGGGCACTTGACCACTGAGCCACATCCTAAGCCCTATTTGTATTTTATTTAGAGACAGGGGCTCACTGAGTTGCTTAGCTACTTACTTTTGCTGAGGCTGGTTTTGAACTCATGATACTCCTCCCTCAGACTCCCAGGCTGCTGGGATTACAGAAGAACTTACCATCGCACCCAGATTCTTGAAGCTCTTCTTGACCATATATTATTAGAAATGATGAARTATAATATACCATGCCCACAAACACAAAGATTCTTAAAACATGATTATGGACCATGTTTTGGAGTCTCAGAAATACAATCATATGCAAAAATCAACAGAAGTTAGTCTTTTTAATTTTCCCATTGGTAACATGCTTTCCACAATTTGACAACCAAGTCCCAAGAGATGCAGTCCTGACAAGTGTGCAGTAAAAACTGCACTCACTTGACATTCTGCTCAGGGRAAGCCAAAAAAATTACAGCTTCGGGAAATCAGTTTGCAATAGGCAACAAGAAGCTAAATGTTATTACAGTTTTCACCCATTAGATAATTTATGGAGAAAAATATCAATAAGTAGGATGCAAAATGAAGGCATTTTATAATATATATGACCTTGCTTAACATGGTCCATAAGAGTAAAAAATGGAAAAATCTTAAATTATTATGGATTTTGGAATAGTTGTGAAAACATGGATACCCTGATGAAATGGAATATTTGTAGCAAAGAAGAGTCAGACATGAACATTTATTAATAAAAATTTCCTCTCTTACATAGAGGAATACGGGCTCAGTTTAAAGGGGGTTTATTTTAATAATGATATAATATGTCCATAAAGTATGCATAATAGAAAAGGAAAGAGTACAAACTGTAATTAGACACTCCTGCATAGTGAGACTAGAATTGATTTCCTTCCTGGTTTTTAATCACCTACACCTTTTTGTCATTCTTAAAACTGGAAAAAGCATTTATTAATATGAATTAAAAATCTCAACCCCTTACACAAATCCTCTTTACTGTAGTTTTGATTTTTTTAAGATGAGCCCTCTCCCGCCCYAAACACACACAGAGTAAATTAAAGTGACTGTTGAGCACTTTTCCAAATTAGACTGTCAAAARTAACATCAAATTTAAACGTAAAAAAAGTCATCCTTTTTAACTTTGTCATTGCCAACATATTTTCTGGATGTTCTTATGTTGCATTTTAATGAAAATGTTCACTGCTGATGCATGTGCAGTCCTGAGAAGTGTGCGCTCAAAATGGCGATATGCCAYGTTGCCAGTGAAGCAAAAGTGTAGGAATGGACTTCACAAGACACACACAGGCCAAGGTCTTTCTGAAAAGTGGAACTCTGAGTGAGTGGTAAATCTTCTGCAGTCCTTTCAATTAATGTTTCACTTTTGTAATCTGAGAAATGTGTTTACTAACCAAAGGAAAAGCTCTGACCCTGAAAATTAAATAGAAAGGAATTTCATGGCAGACAACCAGCCCTATATACTCTCTCTCAAGCTGCTTTTGCTCAGTGACACAAATCTCACTGAGAACCCTCAGGCTTCACTATTGATTTTCCATTTACTACTAAAATTCTGCCTAGCCCCTCCCATGGTGTACAAACTTGGATTCTTGTGTATCCTTACTTTACCTGAGTTGCATATCCTGGATCTTGTCTCCATCTCTGTTCTCTCTAAGATGGGAATGTTTGTCTGTACTGATCCTGGACTCCAGCTGGTGAACTTGGACATGGTAGCATGTGCCCAAGACTATATCTGGATGTCCTGGACACAGGAAGAAATCCTTTGCTCTGCATCAACCACACCTCACCAAACTTCCATGGTTAATGCTCTTTATTACAGTGTCTTGAATTCTATTGATAATTTGAAGGCCAATTTAAATCACAGAAATGATGAAATCATGTGATTACACAAAGAATAAAAAATCAAGGTCAATATGTAAGCATTCATGTCAAAAAAGGAGTTTGTATTAATCCATAAAAATTCTGCAGATTCTCAAATGATAAACTCTAAAGAGAACTATGTGTCAAAATATATCCAAACAATCCTCCACTGGGAGAAATTTAACCCGATCCTGGAACAAACCATTGTGTTATTAAATCTGAAATATTCCTATATTATCTACATAAATTTGCATCCATAAATTCAGGTAAGATGTAGGCCCAGCTCTGTTTTTTTGTTTTAGGGAGTTATATTGAGACTATTGCAATTGTGATACTGTTTGGCAAATATTAGAAAAATTAGCCATCCCAAACATTAGAGTTAAGACCTTGGGTAGCTCCTCTGGTCACTAGTTTGTTTCTACTCAGACACAGTCTTCCCAAATTTTCTGATCCCTTGAGGTTGGTCTGCTGTGCACATCCATGAAGATCAGCTCAGCTACTTAACAAGGGCTCCAACTGAAAAACAGATGGCTCCTACCTTGGGATTTCAATGTCTAATTTGGAATATAGAAAAACAAAATATTAAAAAAGGTTTATCACAATTTGCCTGAAAAGGTAAGGACAGGGTCATGTTCTAACTCTTTTGAAGAAACATCGGATAATGAGGAGACTCTTATTCTATAATCCAGGGAAATTTTCTGTCAGAAACTTAAATATCCAACARTAAAAATATTAAATTTTTGAAGGCTTATTACCCTAAGTGAGAACCATATTGTGATATTATATAGATCAATAACAAAAAAGGTAAAAGGTGCCTTTAATGTTTCATAAAGTACTGAGTATTGTGATATTGAAAAATGCTAGTTTCAGATACATTCAGTTGTATGAAACAGAAAATTCAACTCAACTTGGTTGAAAATTCGAGGAAACTGATGCAGGTTACTAATGTGGGGCAAGTAAGAGTTTCCTAACCATTCTCCTAGAAATATTGTTATCATACACATGTATTTTAAGAAAAAACAGCGCTAGGTTATTTATCCGAGATATTTCTGCTTTGTGATAGAGACCTTGAATATCTATATCATAAAGCCTAGAAAATCCAAACATCCTTCTCAGATAAGAAGTGGAAACCACATCTCAAAAAATGTGGTCCTTTAAGACTGCTGTCCTTGTGACTATAGTAACTTTATCCACTTCTTGGTATACTCTTTCATTCTCTTAGTTTAAATCGGTCTAAGATATGTTGATGTCACCCTCATTCATCATAGACACAACTGAAGTTTCCAGTTTTTTTAGCATTTTCCCTAAGTGTTTCTACATATACCTAGACCAAACTTGAGTTAACACCCTGAAATGGCCTATGATTGTGAATGTCCCCCTCCCCCCTTCCTTCCTTGTGTGCTTTCTTTGTTGCTTTAGAGCATTGACTGCTTATGGAAGTCGTGTAGTGTTAATTCACCCAAGACTAATGCTTTCATGATGTTTTGAAGGGAGAATCTGGAGCTTTTCTACTCCAACATTTTCTCACACCACTATTCTAGATTTCCAAGTGATTTATGGGATTTCTTTCTTTGAATACATCCTAATTTACATAGATATTTCCAAACATACTGTAAATAATGTTGTTTTCAACTTCTCTTCGTGTGGCTAATCATCAAGCTATGACATTGGATAAAATCTGCAAAMGTTCCTTTTTGTCTACTGCCTCTAATTATCAAAAGAACATTTGGTGGAAGGAAGAACTGCAGAGTAGAGGAAGGGAAGCAAGAGGAAGAAAGAGAGGGGACAAAAGGTAAGCATGAGGAACTACCTGGTGAAAGGAATCTACCATATTGTGCTATTTAATGTACAAATATACCACAGTAACTCAATGAATCCAATCATCCTCATATACACAGGAACATAGAGATCACCTGAATAGAATAACAATAAAAGAAGGCATGTCAGGAGAGTAGAGCAAGCAGATAAGGGGGAGGGAGGAGAGCTAGAAAGGGGAAGGTACTGAGAAATAAGATTGATCAAATGTTATGTGCATGCATGAATTTGGCATCATGAATCCCACATTATGTATAATACACACACACACACACACACACACACACACACAGAAACAAAAAAATCTTCATCATATGTCCCAAGCAGAGGAGTGCTAAACTCCTCTACCTTTGCACATCTGAACCATCATGCTCACTCCAGGCCAGATGCCCTCTCACCCCTTTGACAACCATCTGAAAGGAAAACCTCATCCCCCAGTTTCCAGGAGCTCTGGTCCTTGACCTGCAGGAAGATAGCCCTTGGCCTGCTGCTCCTCCTTGCCTTATGTGCTTCGTCTTGCAGACTGTGAACCATGGTCTTCATGCAAAGTATTTTCTTCTTATTTCATGGTTAGAGAAGCATTGACTGATAAATGCCAATTGCTACTTCTTCAGAACCTTAGAAGTCCTATCTTTTCCAATCCCAGGAATGGGTTAGCACGACCAAGCTCCTGCTGACAGGCTTAAAGCCACATTAGTTCTTGTTTATAATGAGTCAAAAAGAAACTAATCATCAATATAACAGAGTGAATGCAAAATCTTGAGAAAAACAACTTTATTTTCTTTTTTTCAAAAATTGTTGAGAATTTAGTGTCTTCTTTACTGGACTAATAAACTTTGCTTTGACAGAATGTGAGTTGCTAAGAAGCATGGATTAACAGAAGTGATGTGTCCAATCAGGAGCATCTGAGCCACCTCCCGCATCCCAATCGAAGTAGGGGATACTAGTTGAAGTCATGACAAAGGTGTCCAGGTTAATATTCATCAGCAAATGGATAATTTGGGTGGTTGGACATACTAAAATGAAAAAGAAAATTATGTAACATAGACTCAGTGAAAGCATTTCTACAGGATAAATAAGTGATACCTACTGAGCTTCATTATATTTCCTCAGTGGTTGTACAATCTACCATTTCGACATTCAGGAACATAGCCATACAGGAGATGGTGTTTTAGTTCTAACTAAATCATACAAATTCTATTCCCTTACCAAGAACAGAACACAACGAACTCACAGAGACAACAATTCACTCATATTCATCTTCCTTAGCTCTATTAGCCAATCTACCAAATCAAAGAAATTCTTTCTTATTTCTTGTATCAATGAAAGCAGAAACAGATTGTACCACACTTATTTACTTAATTTGTGGAAGAGGAAGAAGAATGTGTCCTTTCCCACAAAGTAAGTAAATAAATGTGGTGAAATCTGTTTCTGCTTTCACTGAGATGTTTCTGTTTCTGCTTTCATATGTTTTGTATAAGGATAAGTTCAGATATTGACCAATACAAAAAGTATTTTAGATGTGCAGTATATTGCTAGCCATCTCACTTCCATTTAAATAATTCATTAATGATTATTTGCTCACTGCCCATCACAGACAACATGGTGTTTATTTGGATATGGAAAGAATGTTGTTTATGAGATATACATGCAAATCTCAGGAGCTAGGCATATATTATTTAGATTTCTATAATTTAGAAATAATACAACAGAAAATTGTTACTTCTTGAAACAATATGTATCAAGAATTGCCGATTGCTTGCTACTGCCTCTTGGCATTATGTTCCTACTTCTTCATTTATATCTATATTTACAAAACTGTTAGTAATGAAAACAATATATCTGCCAATATTTAAGCTCATGTAATCATGGATTGTCAAATCCCCTTTAAAACATCATCACATTTATTTCTATTATAAATTAAAATTCCAACAGGCAGAAGAAACATATATTCCTTGTTTATTCTCACTTATAATATATGATGTCCAATGCCAGATTCTATAATCACAAAGCATCCAAAAAAAGTAAAGATTTTTTCTCATGATTATTAGTTCTATTCAACAAGGTTGTTTTTTTCTGCACACTCTTCTCTTGATTTTGAATCTCTCTTCTCAAAAAAAAAAAAAGAAAAGAAAAGAAAACCTCTATCCTCTGCATTAAGATGTCTACAGTTTTTAATTTGAAACTATATGTCCTCCCAGCAGCCCCAAGGGAAGCCTTTTGACACATATTGCAGTGTCTGGGCTCTCATCAAAGCTGCACTGAAAAGGAGGGAAAGACTTGAAAATAAATAAACAAAGGCCAAGGTCTATCAAGGTTACTTACGATTCCATGATAACATAGCGAAAATTTCTGTTCAGGCCATCTAGGTCTTTCATGTCTTCTGCAGTCAACTCGAAATCAAAAACCTATCACACAAGTAGAAAGTTTTTAGCATCTTTAGACTACATATTGCCAATCATGAAAATCCAATGAAATAATGTTGTTGCAGAAACATTTAAAATATCTTAAAAGTTTCCAATAGTTATTAAAAAACTCTAACAAAACACTCAAATGGTCAATAAATATCAGTTGAAAATTGAAAAGAAATCACTATTTACATGTATTATACAGAAACTGCACTAACTACAGACAAAAAGAAATCACAAAAAGAAGTTGTAGCAAAATAAAGTAATGTTACTCAAGACTATAGTGTCACATAGTTAAGAGACTCTGAGAAATCTAGAGGCAACATCATGAAACATGTAAGATGATTCAATAATTTCAATGATACAGTTTTATTTCTATATCCCATTAATGAACAGTTAAAACTCCAACAATGATTTTTGATCAAATTTTTTAAGTCAGCAATTGTACTAATCATATCCTCTTCAAAAAAAAAAAAAAAGGCAGGTGGGAGGAGGTCGCTTCAAGAATCACCATGTCACCATGTCTAAATTTGAGACATTTTACAGATGAAAAAGTTTTCAGGAATTGCTATAATACTGAAAAAGAATGGATATATAAATCTTTGGTAATTTTCTTAAGAAATTGTAAGAAAGGAAAATATTGATTATTTTATACTTAAGGAATTATATAAACAGCATTCTCTGCATTCCTCTTTGAACTTTTCTGTACATTTGGAAAGTTGCAAGTGAAAGTGAAAATGAATATGTTATTTAAAGACTATCAAAATTGTCACAACTGTAGAAATAAATACAACAGAATTAATACAAATGCATTCATAGATCAGTTTACTGCAGTATGTTTAAAGACTAGTTAAATATTGGAAACTCATATCAAAATTATGGAGTAGTATCTTTAATAATTCAAAATGTAGTTTCTCTCTGAATTTATTAAGCATTCCAATGCAATATCAAACAAACAGAGACAATCTGCATAGAGGTTGATAAAGCAATTCTCTGTTCTTTATAACAGAAAAATAGACAGAAATGTAATCCTGTTGCTGGGAATTTTTACTTAGTCATTTAAAAATTATGTGTCTATTTGGATTTTTATTTCATACAATGTTTAAAAAATGCTATTGAATTATATGTGGAATTAAGGAAGGTAAGACTTTTRTAAAGAAATGTAATAAAATACTAGATTTGCCAATGTAAGTAAAAACATGACACCATTAACCACAAAGTCCAGGCATGAAGACACCAATTAGAGAAGGAACTTTGTTCATGAAAATATACCCAAAGGAGAATGGAAGCACAAGTAGAATGTGGGAGAACATATTTCAACAAACACAATTGCATCTGAAAAAAAAAATATCCAGAATATGCCAATGTGGTCAATTGTTTGCAAAAAATGATCTCCCCAATAATTCATATCCCCAGACTTCAATCTCTTTCCTATGTGAATTTGAAGCTTCTTTCACTAAGAGATGGTGTCTCTTTCTGCACCTCTTGAGTCGTGCCTCATCTCTTTCATTGGCCAACTTTTATTGGCCGTTAGAACATGGTAGAAGCTACTCTGAGCTGAGGTATAAGAAGGCTCTGTGAGATTTCATTCATTGCCTGGGGACAGTGCTGTGTGATGATGTGAAGCCTGGGTTGTCCACTAATGGATGCAAAGTACCATGGAGAGGAGCCCAGACACTCTAGACAACAGAGCAAGTAGGACTACAGCAGAGGGACCACACTGTCCTGCAGATGCATATCAGAGTTGTTGACAAAAACATGAGTAGCCTGGGTAGCTGTAAGACATTCACTGAGTTCACGCTGAACCAAGGCAAAGAGACAAAACTTAGAAACAATTGTTCTTTGTATTAATCTCAATATTGGGTAGGTTTTCTTGTAACTGCTCTAGTGGTGATTCAAAAATTGTTCTCCTATTGAAAATGAATGAAAAACCAACCAAATAAGTGGTATAAACTGACAGTAGACAAGTGTAAGAACTAAACATGAGTAAATATATGAATAATAATATACATGGAGGATTTGGGGAAATGTAAATTAAAATCATAATTCACAGAAAAAATCACCCAATCCAAATTCTCATTTCAGAAAATAAGTAAAAAGAACATACAAAGTTGTCTTGCACAGAGTTATATAATACATGGCCAGACATGCTGAAATCCAAACCTCTGGGATTTATCCAATCTTAATTCTAAATGAGTATACTGCATATCCCATTGTGGAGTAAGAGAACACATTTCTGAAAACATGAAATCTTACATGTAGAGGACTTGGTCCAAAAACATCTTTGCAAGTTTCAAAGAAGCACACATGTAAAGGAGTCTGTGTAACAACCCCAGTGCCCACAGCCCTTCTCTATACCTGAATGTTCTCTTTGATCCTCTTCTCGTTGAGACTCTTGACCAGAACTACAACCCCACGCTGCAGCTGGTAGCGGAGGGCAATCAGGGCTGGGGATCGCTTGTGCTTTTTTGCCAAGGCACCAAGAACTGGATCATCCAAGAGAACTGGGGAGTTCTGGTCAACCCTGGAAGGAAAGACAAGATGCTGAAGCCCTGAGGCCAAGTTGGTTAGGAGGATTTCATATATTTCCCTTTTCGGGGGGCGGGGATGTGGTTTACTGTGGGTTGAATCCAAAGGCTTTCTACCACAGAGCCATAAGCCTAGTCCTTTTTATTTTTAGTTTTGAGACAGACCTCATTGAATTTCTGACACTAGCCTTAAGTTTTGAAGTCCTCCTGCCTCAGCATTCCGAGTCACTGGGATTACAGCAAGCACCACTGATCCACCCACAATAGAGACTCAGGTCTCTTTGGACCACTCTAAACAGGGATCCTCAAATGCAGTCCCTGTGTCAGCAGCATCAGTGTCTTATGGGATCTTCCCAGAAATGTAAATGTTCCACTCTTCCAGGGTCAGTTGAGAGTGACCTTTTGAACTCTGAGTCTTGTTGGACTATAGATAGTTCATCTTCAATGGTATTTGAGGTCTACTCCCTGAGGTTCTCATTACCATCCTTTGTATCGTTGAGTTCCCAGAGCACCATAGGCAACCAGAACAATGTCTTTGGATTTGCAGAAGTCCAGCAGTTTCCTCTGGTTATGATAAACATGACATTCTACCTGCAGTGGACAAGGTAGAAGGTATCTGGTTCTAATGTTAATATGAAAACAAAATTGCAACTAAAAGAAGCTGAATTTTTAAAAATTCAATTTGGACATTAACATTGTGCCATAAATCAAGAATTTGGTCAAAGACTCATAGAACAAATTTGACAGACATTTGGTAAGTATTCTGCGGTTGACATTTGGGTAAATTTATTCATCAAAAGAAAAAGAGAAATAGATTCTAGAACTCAGGGAGCTTAGAATAATTCCCCCCAATCATAATCTCTATTAACAAGTCCCAATTTGAACCAGTCAATGTGGGACAAAGGGACCCTGACGGGAAAATCTCCCCTTTGCAGGGCAGTAACACGCACAGTGGAGACTCGAAAAATCTGAAGAAATCCCACTGTCAGTCAACACCCAAGAGGTGAACCTGGGCAGAATTCTTCAAACTTCCATGGTACACCCAACAAGACTGGAAAGAACGATGGGCATGCCATGCCTCTCCTCTCTGTGAAGATTCTCTCTCTCTCTTTTGGGAGTTTCTCCTTTTTTCTTTCTAATCACCCCATGTCTGCTGCTCTGAGCAACATGTCGGGTGCTGTTCTAGTGTGACGCAAAAACCCAGTAACCGAGGACCACTATGGCTCCATGGCTCCTCAGCAGGCCCTTGGTCTATAAGAAGGAAATCAACTCTATCTCCTAAGTGACTGAAAATGGGAATGTAAAACAAATTAAATGATATATAAGACAGTTAAAAAAAAACTGGTTCAATATCATGTGGAAAAGCTGAACTTTTTGTGTGAAAAGAGGTCAAGAAACATGAGAGAAGGAACATGTGATCCTGAGTCCCATCCTGAGGATGGAGAGAACTACAAAAGATATTTCAGAGAAGCAAAGGGACACTTGAACACAGACTAGATTTAGATGACTTGAGAGACTTACTGCTACCTTTAGATGTCGTAATGTAAATGTGCTACATGGGAGACCATCTTCATTCCTAGGATATGTTCCCTGAGCTCTCTAAAAGTGAATCTACAATTTACTTTGAAGAGATGTAGCAAAATATTACACATATTTATAAAGATTCCCACATAAATAAATATCTCACAGGGTTCCGCAAAGTCAACAATTTTAGATACAGGGTGGAAAATATGGATGTCCAGGATCATGCTCTGAAGATTTTTGTATGTTTGAAAAATTTTATGATAAAAAAGGTATAAAACTAATATTAAAAATATTTTCAGTTTTAACATTCTTATTAGAAATATATAGTGCTCAGTCTCCATTTATGAATTCATTGTTTTATAAGCTCTGTTCCAGACACTGACTATTACACCATGTCTGAAACTTGTCAAAAGTAAGTTAGAGCACAGAACCATGCATACAATACAAGGGATTGCACAGTTGATTTGATATCTGAAAGCATCAAGAAAAGCGAGTAAGAGGGGCTCAGGCACAAGGACAACTGTATAATTAAGTAAAAGTTCCTGAATGTGGATTTCATCCATCATCAGTATCACCATAAAAAGTAACTTCCTCTCAGTCATTTAAATTTATTCTCTTTGTTAACCATACCTCTGGGTCCAGAAGCTGAAATGAGAGATAATAGGGATTCAGCACCCAAACTCCACTCAAACCCTGACCACTGATCTATTTTCATTCTTTTTGCTCAGTGCCCATTCCTATGTACTCACCTTCTTTCCTACACACAGTTCCCCCCACAGCTCATTCATCCATCCAGTGTATGGTCTTCCTTCATTGCTCAAGGACAAGCTCACCTTGGTTTGAAGTCAGATAAATAACCATCCTCCTACTTGATCACCTTTACATCACCAGATTCTGCCACATACTAGGAACCAAGATCTTCCCCTCATTTTTACTAATGATTCAGCTGAGATACAATTGAGAATCCTCCACACACTCCAAAACAGTGGATAATCTTACATCCTTCTGTTCCACCATGGTGAATGAACTGGGGGACAGTACAGGACAGACACCTGGAAGTGGTGCAGAATCAAGGAAATGAATAAGAGATGGCAGTGAGGCTCAGGGCTCTCACCTGGTTGCAGACAGGCTTATACTTGAGGCCCGGTTTATTCAGGATCATCTCCAGCTGCCTGCGGTTAAAGTTGGACACCCCGATGGACTTGGCCAATCCTGCGTCCTTGCACTTCTCCATGGCCTTGGGAGGAAGGGGTTGGGAAGAGGCATATTACAGTCAACTATGTCACTATGAAGGCAAGACAGAACTGTTAAGAGGAGCACTATCCAGGAAGGACAACAAAGCTGATGAATTGATTGTGAAGAGGGGAAAATGGTATAGATAATAGGGAAAGTTGTTGAGAGCTAGAAAAGGAACTCGTGTGTCCTCTTTAGGGCAACAGACATGACTGCATGTGGAGGCAGCAGTTGCGTTTCCTCATTGTCATCAGTTCTTCTCCTCTCTATCTCTCTGTTACATTCCAGTAATGTGTACCTCCCTGGGCTGGGGTTGTGGCTCAGTGGTAAAGCACTTGCCTCATATGTGTGAGGCAGTGGGTTCAAATCTCAGTACCGCACATACATAAATGAATACAATAAAGGTCCTTCAACAACTTAAACAGTGTATACCTCCCCACAACCCCAACAAAAAAAATCTATTTTAAATTTAATGATTTCTAGACCCACAATTTCAGGAGAAAGCATAACTTTACTTTAGTCCTCTGGGTTTCCAGTGTGGTCACTCCTTCAGGTACTCACCTCCCATGTGGCACAGASATCCAGTGAGTCACATATTACTTTTCCATTTTCATCTTTTGGATAAAGCTCTTCCCCTGGCTTCAAGAGAAGTGATCATAACAGAAATCATGCCAAATTCATACGTTCATGCACAAAATGGCTGCTAGATATCTATGGGATGGGAGACTAAAACTCCATGAAACACGTGGAACATCAGTTTATATTCATCTATTTCCAAATTCTTTACATGTGGAGTCATAAGGAATACCTTCAGGTGCTTAGTTTCCTGTATTCCCTTACATCAAATTATCTACATGTTTAACTATTAACACACACACACACACACACACACACACACACACTCACAGGCACACACATACACACACATATAATTAAATAAGATATTCTCAGGTCTCCTAATGATGTCTTTTAGTAGCTTATGTTATTTTTCCTGTCCCTACATATTGCCCTAGGGAAATATCTCTCTTTCACTGGGTAAGTCACTGGTTGCATGGGCTTGATCTCCTGCAATAATGGGTTTCAATGATGACACAGGCTGAAGAGTGGTCTTTATCTACCTGGACACATGTGGATCTAAGAATATGTATGTGTACCAAAGATGGTCATTCAAGTTTCTATTCAAATTTGATTTGATGCTGGAAGATGAAGAGTCCTTATCAAATATTAATGACCTGAAACTTGAACAGCCCCAAAGTCATATTTACCATCAGTGRAAAAGGCTAAGGCAAAAAGCAAGCAAATCTCTAGTAATGCATACATAATGGATAAATAAACAGAAAGGATTCTGAGGATAACTTATTATCATAAATCTAACCATAGTTTGGAATTTCTATAATTCATATAAATTAAATTTATATAAATTTATAATAGAATCTCAACTCAACCATCAATGATAATGATAGTCACGCTGATGACTGAAATTAAGTAGGTTTGATGCTAAAAATTGCCTACCTTCATTGCTGTTGGGAAATGAATAAGGTAGAGGTCAACATAGTCAAAACAAAGTTTTTTCAGTGATCGTTCCAAACAAGATTGGACCAGATTGGGATGATGAAAAGTGGACCATAGCTACAGAGGATAAAAAAGGAAATGGAACTAGATTAATACATTACCCATATTTTGAAGATTTGACTAACTTCATGTTGAGACATTTATTTGTCTATTCCTTGAAAACGGATGATCATAGGGAAGATATTCACTTCAGATCTTGGGTTTTCATTGATCTGATCCTATTCATGTAAACTGGAATATATCTTTGTCTATTATTAGTCAACAATTGAACTATGGAAAGAATTACACAAGACATAATTTTTATCAAATAATAACACTATTTAATCTATGATTAATGTTCATAGATATTACAAAGCTATTGTTAGTCCATCTCATGAATTCAGTTCAAAATTAGTATATTTTGATTCAAAAAACTGAAGGGAAACACATTTTGAACATCTTAATAATCAAGTCACTTTAGCTATGCCTTCTTTACTACAAATGGAAAAGTCCTACATTGTTCTTTGGAAATAACAAATGTATCATGGATATTCAGAATGATTTAAAAGTCAACCAGGAGATAATGAATCCATAATATGGTAAATTCAGTGAATTTCTGGAAGACCTCACAGGACTCTGCATACTGAGATAGTCATTTTATTCTATCGGATTTCATAACCAAATGAAATTACCAAAATGCTGTTTGCAGGATCAGAAAAATAAAGAACTTTAAAGTCATAAATTTGTAGACAGTGAGTAGGAATTCATAATCCTTCCCTGTTTTTGATACTATATCTTTTATGTTAATAAACATTGTACAAATAATCACTTTCCACAACAACTGATCACCCAATGTAATTTTCAGTTCTTTATATCACATTGCAATAATTTTTAYACTGTATACACAATACCTTTGAAGTATAGAATATGTCTTCTCTCTTCACAGTGCCATCTGCAATCTTGCTTCTAATGGCCAGTCCTACCTCCTCTTCTACTTGATATACATAAGCACAATCAATATGGCGGAAACCAGCTTCTATAGCTATTTTGGTGGCCTCTATTGTCTTACTATTAGGAACCTAGAGGAACGACCAAAAGAAGTACTTGGAGAACCATAGTATGAGAGATAACTTATAGTGAGCAAAGAGAACAGGTCAATAGACTGGAAGAATTTTATATCCCAGTGTTTTCGTAAGACTACTGAATTATGTGATAAGGTGCTAGTACCCTGAACTTTGAATGTCCATTTTTCTCTTCTGTAAGAATGAAAGAAATTGCCAAGGAATTATTTTGAATATCTGTCAATATAATACACAAAACCAATGATGATTAATTGACAAACACCCTTCTTAGGTCACCGTTTGACTTATCTGGTTGTTATACATTCGGGTAAATTCCCCACACTTGAGAACACATAAAAAATTCTCCTCTGCCAAGGTGCAGCATTTTCTGTGAGATGCTGAAGCCTTCCTCAGACTAGAGAGGAAGTATTCTGCATCATTTATTTTATGCTTTTTATCTCAGGTACATTTTGCTAAACACATGTCTGGGGCTCTTGCCTTCTTGGGAGGAAAATATATTTCCTGAGGTATAGAAATAAAGAGAGAAACCATTCACAGTGCAAACAGAGTGCTGACATTCATCTTTTCTACCAAGTTGGTCAATAGACTGAAATGGGGGGTGGAGGCTTAGAGTGGTCAGAACA